GCGAGTACATGTGAAAGCAGGGAGGACTGAGAAGGTGTTGCAAGTTTTATAATCAGATGAAGAGGCTATCTTGTGTGCCGGATGTGATAACTTACAATTTTTGATAGAGACTCATTGTAGGGATGGGAATCGCGAGGATGCGATTAAAGTGTTAAATTCGATGGTTTTAAAGGGTGTGAACCTAATGTTCATAGTTTTAACCCGATTTTTTAGGTGCATTGCCAAGTCGGGGGATGTCAATGCTGCTCAGCGGTTGTTTGCAAGGATGAAGGAATTAAAGTGTCAAACTAATACTGTGACATATAACATTCTGATGCAGATGTTTGCTGATTCAAAATCTACAGACATGATTATCAAGCTTAAGAAGGAAATGGATGAGAGTGAAGTTGAGCCTAACGTGAACACTTACAAAATTTTGATTTCAATGTACTGCAAAATGGGACATTGGAATAATGCATACAAGTATTTTAGAGAGATGATAGAGCAGAAGTATCTAAAACCAAGTCAGCAAGTTTACCAAATGGTCTTGGAACAGCTTAGGAAGTCTGGCCAGATGAAGATGCATGAGGAGCTGGTGGAGAAGATGGTTTATAGGGGATTTGCTTCTCGTCCCTTGTAAAGGATAGTTAAAAGTGGCTCAACCAGTTGAATTTGGTAATCCTTCTTTGCCTTTGCCATTGATGTTCTGATATTGTCAAAACATCCCGAAATTCTGTTTTCATAGTTGTTATAGTACCTATCTTTGTAGCTTTGTAGCTTCATGGTTGAAATTCTGAGATGCTTGTTTCGGTCATCCAAATCATATACAGAATTTAATTTCCTGGTATTCTTTGTAGTGATGGATGACAACTGGTGAGCGCCGAATGGTGATTTTGAACCTTCTCATGAGGCATCTTGGTTTGGAGCTCACGTCATCTGTGGCAGTCCAACATACGAGACATCCTTTCTGCACCTCAAGCAGCTGCTAATGGGTGCTTCATTGTTGGAAAACCCAGAGAACGATGAAATGTGTAGATAATTGCACTATTTGGCTTCAAAGAAGCTTGGCAATTGGGAGTTTCTTCTTTATCTGTACGTCGCTTTGCATTGGAAGTTCTAATGCAGCTTTCCTTAGTCTGTTTCTTTGTAGGGTAGAGAAGGGTTATGTTTGCAGTAGGTGACAAGGATTGTGAGAAAGTGCAGAAATGTTTTAGCTATTGTACTTCGGGCTGTATCATTTGTGGAACTAGCATTACATTTTGTCTCCATGAAATCAGGCTTACCTGTTTGGCAGTGTGCTGCTAGCAGTCTTTCCTGGAACATGAGTACATTCTAATCCTTTTGCACGAACGTTCACATCCAAACTCTCACTTATTTGAACCTCCTCTAAATCATAGAAGCTCGTAGTTTAGTTTGTACATGCATATGATTCCTGAGTCTGAATTCTGAATGTTGTTAGAGCCTTATGACTTGTGCTGTCTGAATTCTGAACGGTTTTTAATGTTCAATCTTTGCAGGCGCATTGAATATAATTAAGACTTGGTTGTCTATAACTTGGCTGCCACAACATAGCCAAAGCAACGCAGGAAGGCTATTATTGGACCGTTAAGGAATGGTTTATGTTTTAATCATTGAACAATAATCTAAACCTCATTTAAACTTGACCAAAAGTTTCATCCTATTTGTAAATTTTAAATCTTCCTACTCCCACTGTCAATTTCCCCTATGTTTTATTGTATAGAATTACAAGTGGTTGCAAAAGTGGTCCGCGAAGATTCTTTTTTTTTTTTTGGCATTCTTTTCTTGTCTTTTCTATTCGAGGTAAGACTGCATGACAGGGAAGTTTCGCGAATGTAATAAATGTGATTATTTCCAGCCGCCGATCCATGACACAGGTTCACTATTATTTTTTTTATTATTGTTTTTATAATTATCTACCTAATTGCCGTATTTTCCCTACTTAACCCCGCCCTTGACCATTGACTACGGACACAGAATTCCTGTGAGTTTTTGGATGTTTGTCTAAAATTTTACTGTAGAAGTTTTTAAAAAAAATTTTGAAAGGATGTTTTTTTTGAATATTTGAAGTGTATAGTTTAAAATTTTTGAAAAGTTTTTTTGAGCATTACTGTAACTATAAAGTTTTTAAAAAATTTGTAGCAGAAACTTGGCAAAAAACTCAAGTGCCAAACATGTTAGAATTAATGTTTATAATGACAAAAATCCAATGTTATATATGAATTGACATGACAAAAAGAATAGGCGGTATAATTTACCAAGTCTAGTGGTCGGATTTTTTTTCTTTTTCTATTTTCTCCGGTGTTCATTAGCACAACTTTAAGAAGACCACCAAATTAAAGGATGCTCCACGTGGAAAATTTTAATTGCAGAAAATCTTCAATGGATCTCACAGTTTAATGCACGAGAACTCTATACAAATTTAATCAAATTTTAAGTTTTAGGCTCCTAGCGAAACACACTTAAATTTCATGAAAGCTATTTCTTGGTATAAATTTCCAATTAGAATGTGAAGTTGCATGTGTCAGAAAACTTAAATCACACTCCTCCCTTGCTACATATTTCAAAATTATTGCTAAAACCATTCGAGCAACTTTCGTAATAATTTTGAGCATAGTTTTTTAATACATTTGTGTTAGCACAGTTTCAAAGTGGGTATTTTATTTTAAATGTGAGTATATATAGTTAGGTTGTAATTTTATGAATTTAAGTTGTAGTTAATCAATTAGTACTCACAAGTTTTTGCAAATGTGCATGTGTATGTTATTGTAAGTTTAATGATATGTGTATTCCACTAGTAAAAAAAACTTTTTCTCCAATTATTCTGATTGAACTTATTTTCATAGATATTTCGCAATCACATTTACAATAATTAAACTAAGGATGCATTTGATGAAATTGGAGTCTACAAACTCAAGTAATCTGAAGTTTGAATCCGTTCAGTGATTGAATTTTTAAGTACTAAATCTGATACATTTGAGTGTATATCACATTAAATAATAAGTGAATAACTTATCACTTTATTTTTTGGAGCAAGTCATGCTTAGAAAATTCAATACCACTTAATTAATTCAGATATATTTTATTTTATTTTTTGTTATCAAACGTGTCTAAATATATTAAGATCTGAACCTATTAAATTTAAGTGTCGAATCGAATTATCAAACAGGGCCTAACATAATCCTCAAACGATCAACGGCAAACATTGCTCTACGTCAAAGAGCTTATGTCCGCTAATCTATTCCAATAGGCTTTGTTTTGTTTTTTCTATGTAAATTTTACCATTTCAGACCAAAATGAAAAGGTGGATTTTACCATTCTAAAAGAAAAAAGGTTTTTTAAATGATAAAAATTTTGAACCGATATTGACGCTTTCATAATGTTAATGCTGCTTCCCCGAATTTTTTTATGATGTTCAAAAAAATTCATTAATTCTCTAAATTTCATTGTGATTATCAAGTAGTAGTTGAAAGGGATAATTTTTTTGTTTACTTGAGGTTACTAACATATAGACGCTAGAAATAGTTGACAAATTTGCTTGCACTTTTCTTCACTTTCTTCCATTTTATGTCATACAAAATATGTGGAATTTACAAGGAAAATAAGTTAATTAAAAACAAAATTTTTAATAACTATCTCTAACTTCCCATTTTCCCTCAAAATTTTTCTTCATAACTAAACATAAGCCAGAAAATGATTTTCATTTTCTTTTACCTCACTTTCTTGCACTTTACTTTCCCATAAGCATTTTCTTTACTTGTTCACATCTGAAAATTGAATTTTCCACTCAGTAATATTAGTTAATTAAGGGGTTCTTTTTTCTAGCTGACTAAAAAAACACCAATAAAATGGATAAGGACAACATACAAGTTTTGGCACAATATTTGTACTTAATTTGAAAGTTGTAATATTATTGTATACATTAGTTGGTTAAAGGTTGGAGGAAGTTATTGTGTTGAATATCATTTTTAAAAAAAAATAAAAAGGGAGAACTGCTTAATAATATATAGAGTGATAGGGAATATATTCTAAAGTTTAACACACAGACGGCATATATTCTGCCCTCAATCTTCTACTTAAAAGATTTTAAAGTCTCGCAGAATTGTATTTGTGCAATCTTTTTAACCATAACAATTTCCACTTTGAATAAAAATTCAAAACTCTATCTGGTTTGGTTCTTATGGGAGGATACACAAAAGATAACAAAATTGGCACCCATAACGATTTTCATATTTCAAAAAATTTAAAACGAACACAAGCAGGGAGAATCGGGAAAGGAATAGATTGAGTAATACGGGAGGAGGAAGTGTATGGGTTCACTTAATAAAACTGAAATTTGAAATCTGAATCTATAATTATTGAATTGTTGAATATATTTGACAGTACATCACACTAAGTAATAGCTGTGTCGGATTCGAGACTTTCCACTCGAAAAAAAATGCAAAGAAACGAAAAAATTTATTCTAGAGTATAAGTGATAGATGTGTCGGATTCGAGACCTCCTATTCACAAAAAAAAAAAAAATACAAGCAAAAAAAGGAAAAAATTTATTGAAGAGTGTAAGTGGAAACTTTTAAGTGATAGAGGTGTCGGATGCAAGATCTCGGAAAAAAAAAATTATTGAAGATAAATGAGAAATTTCAGTTTCGAAACCTCCTAGTTATATAAAAAAATACAAGCAAAAAAAAAAGAAAATTTTATTTGAAAGTGTGCATGAGATATTCATGTTCGAGACCTTCCACTCATATAAAAAAAAGGGGATAAAACAAATAAATTTTTTATAACTTAAAAAAATAGAGCACAAAACTTTTATTATTAAAAATATGTTTTAAAATATTTTAAGTACGTTTTCAATTGCATTTTTTTTTATCTGATGTATATATTTATTTAAACCAACCTGAAACCAACAAAATATATGTATAGAGCTATTACAGCATCGGGAAAACAAATTCAACAGCTTCATCTATCGGTAAAACCTTTTCTCTCTCTAGAACTTTTCCTCTCTCTCTCAGTCTTTTTTTTTCTCTCTTTATTGTACTTATTAATAGTTGCTATGGTAGATAAATAATTGTAGATGTGTATGTGTTTATGTAGGTTTTGAATAGGCGAAGTTCTACAGATTTTGTGGTGGGTTTTTTTTACTGTTTAATTTGGTTTGTTCCTTTTATTTTCCAGCACGAATCGAGATCTATTTTTTTTTTTGTTCATCAAAACCTAAAATTGTTTCTGTGTTCCGATTGGTACTGTTATACTAGCTGATTTGAATTGTGAATAATCTTTATTTATTTACTTATTTATTTTTTACTCTTAATTTTGTTTGTTTTTGTGCTTATTCACTGAAGTTGTGCTACTGATCAGCGAACTGTGAATTCTCGGTCACCGGTAAATAATCCATACCAGCCCTTCTTTTTTTTTTTAACATTTTTTGCGTAATCATTATTTTTGTTATTTTAACTTTTTGTGCTTTTTTTTTTACGACAAGGTTTTTGTCAGTTTCTTTATGTTAATTAGGAGCATCTTTCTTCAGAGTATTGGTGAATTAGGTTTTTTCTTTTGTTTTAATTATGATAACATATGCCTTGGTAGAACTAAAAATTTAATTTTTGTCTCCCTGTGATAAGAGTTTAATTAATTTGATCCATGGTTTTTCGCATGATAAATTTGTATTTTAGTGCAAATGTATGATTTTGATACCTTTTAACTGAAGATTTGAGAAAGTGGTCAATTTTATACAGTTGTAATGGATTGGAGGACAAAAAAAGCGCATGTCGTCTTGTACTTTAGTGTTGCCTCTTAATTAAGTGGGGGTTTTTTTGGTTGAAAGTGGTCAAATTGGAGGGATAAAAAGCGGGTGTCTTGTTGTAATTTAATGTCACCAGTTAATCTAGTACTAGGGGATTGTTGGCTGGAGTGGTCAAATTTTTATAATTGTAGATATAAAGTGGATGTCGTCTTGTAACTTAACAGTGCCTGTTAATTTGATACCAGGGTATTTTCGGTTGGAAAACTAAATAGGTGGTGAAGTTTTAGTTGCTTATATTTTACGTTATCCTGTTTTAGGAGTAGGACATTCACTCTTAATTGAATGTTAAGCTGCAAGTTTTCTTTCGAGCGTTTCTATTTGTAGTGTATTTGAACATTTCCCATTTCCCCATCTGAATTTAGTGGCATGTGTACTTTGTTGTTATACTAGTTGTTATTATTTGATCAAACAGAAGACTTTCCCATGGAGTACAAATGGAGGAGAATGATATTGGTGGAGATGTACCTGAATTTGGTGCAATCTTCATGTCAAATATTGCAACGAAGAGGGAGTGCTTTAAACGGAAAGTTTTTGGTCTTCCATCTTCCATGGCTAGTTTTGTTAAGCAGGTTAAAGTAGGAATGGTTTTATTCTTGTTTGAATTTGAGAAACGACAGCTTTTCGGTGTTTACCGGGCCACTTCTGATGGTGGAATGAATATTGCGCCCCATGCAATTAATTCTTCTGGAAGCGATTCTCAGCACAGGTCTGTTGAATAAAGTGCTGCTTGGTTTCTTTGTTGTGAAAAGTCGCATGATCTTGCGAGTGTATGTTATTACTGACATACAAACTGGTGTGTGTGCTTTATGCAGGTCTGTTTTACACCAATATGGATTTGTAGGCCACTTTTTGAAAATGAATTCAGAGGCTATTAAAGAGAACTATTTTTCGACGAAGAAGTTCCATTTTGGTCTATCCAAAGAACAGGTCAGTCAGAAAACTCTGATCAGATATGTATGCATGATTGCTGTCTTAAATGTTGGTTTTTATGCCTTAATTTCATGTGTAGGTTCGCCGCCTTCTGCATCTGTTTAGTACAAGAAAGCTAAATGATATGCTAGCCCAAGACAAATGACCAGAGTAGTGACTGAGTCTGCTAGTAAAGATGGAAGACTGGGGTTGATCGTGGCTTGTTTGCCAGAAGAGAGAGTTTGGAAATGGAACATTTTGAGGACGACTTCACTTCAGCAGATATGAATGAATTGGTGGAGTATACTCCAGATAGAGTTTTTGAAGTGGATGAGAACATGCATTTTGTAGATGATAGGCTAGAGAATGGAAAGACAGTGGTTACTTTTGGACTCAATTCCTGGACTGATCAAGCTGGTGATTTTCTTCATATAAGGAAAAGAGCACATGACAATGAAGCAGAAAGTGAATTATATGACACCCACACCTCTTTGCTCCCTTATGAGACTGACAACCAGGAAGCTTTCTTGGATAAAGAAAGAATACAAGCTGCTTGCAGCAGATCTCTAATGGCTGAGAATACTGTAAATGACTGTAATATCTATTCTAGTCTTTCTCCTGCTGTTGCCACCAGCTATACTGAGGACGCCTCTGATTTAACAAGGCGAGCAGTTTATGAAAGGTCTTTGTTTGAAGGTGCGAACGTCCATGGAAATGATGACATGTTCCGAATGAATGATAATATTGAAAAAAACCTAAATTTGCGTGGTTCTTTTAGACCTATGATGTCTAATGAGAATGAGCAAGACCTCGAGAGACATGGAAGAGCAGTAGGTGATCATAGGTTTTTCATGCATAGTAGTGGATCAGATCAGAAGCATCCCGTGAATGATGATTTTAACCCTGTCCATCCATCAGAAAATTTCGATAATTCTTTACACAGGATGAAAGGGCCATCTAGTGATAGGAAGCTTTTGATGGGTGAAAGACTAGCTAGCGAACGTGATTTGGATAATGGACTTCGGTTAGACTTTTTGTCTGAGAAACTTCGAGATCCATTTGACAGTGATCAAAGAAAATTTGATCAAAGAAGATTTCTCCAAAGGGATAAAGTTATGAAAGCAAATTATAGGGATGGAGTTCATGGCTCAACGAACTCACATGTTCCATCAGGGTTTGGCAGAAGCAAAGGACACGTAGCCAGCAATGCCCTGTTGAGTGAAAAGAGAGTGGACAACAGGCACACATTGAAATGTTCTTGCAGCCTGTCTCATCCAAGTACACTGCTTTTCCTCACCCAAAGCAGGATTTGTTGGAGTGCTTTAGCAAGCCCTCTCCAGACACTCAATTCTCTCAGCTGGAAGACGACATCATTTCAGGAACTTGAATTCAACATTTCATGATTCAGTGGTTACCAGAACTGTCGCTAGTGCCCCTGAACCACCTACTTTCCACCATGGACACACTCTGTCCAATGTAGTTGATCGGGGTGCTAGTATAGTGCTAGATAATCCTCATTATGGTTCTGGAGGGGATTCACTTGCTTTGTCAAACAGTAAAATGTATGATAGTTAAAAAGTCAAAAAGCAACAAAAGCAGTTTCTCAGCTATGTCTCTTTCCATTTACAAACTCCAAACGTTCCTGAACTCAGCAGTTGGAGTTGGAGGAGCTAAACAGCAGCGCCCATTTTGTCTTCTACAGCTTTCCTTCAAGGTACTTAAAACCCATCTTGATTTTAATCTTTTATCCCTCTCCACTTTCCTTTTTCTGTGTTTCTAGATTTTACTGGGTTATATCCATTTACTTCTGTTATTGTACTTGTCATTCAAAATTGTAGCTTTTGTTCCTCTTGTTGAGTTTGAATTGTATTTGCTGTTGTGGTGATCTGATCAGAGATGGTAAGGTTTTGTTAATATGAACTGAAAAATTGTCAACTATGAGAGATTGAGGAGATTACCATTTCCTTTTGTTATTGCAATCTTGATGAAATTTGCTTCCTACTGGGATTTCTAGCTTTTTCTCACAGATCATTTTGATTATTGGTACTCATGAAAAGGTAAAATACATGAAGAAAAAGCAAGGAAACAGCAATTGATGAATCAATTTTGTGCCATGCTGACTGCTACTTCAATTAAGTAGTAAAGTTTCAATCTTTTTTCCCTCCTTTTGTTGGTCCAATATTTAAAGTTGAAATGTCTTATCTGCTACTATCACTTTCGATATTGTGCAATGCCTAATTATTTGAGTCCCTCAAATTTTAAGAAAAGAAGTTGTTTTCTAAACAGGAGATTATAGCTGCATCAGCTCAACCTCCGATTAAAATTTAGTGTTGTGGCTGATAAAATCTGTTCGAAACTATTCTAGCAGGGAGATTGCTGATCCTAACTTGAGTAGCTTTCTGTACTTTGTCTTATTACGGAGTTGGATAGATTGACTAATCCCCCTGACCATTTGATGCGTTTCAGCAATATAGAAAATTTGTCTTTGGGAGCAGCAAAATTATCTATATGTTCTTTCTTGAATTTGAGATTTGTGACTCCATTGGCATAGGCATTTCTACTTGTTTTTGAGGAGTCATTGATCTCACAGCATAAGGAGGTGCTCTTACTTTTTTGTAATATGAATTTCACAATGTTTAAATTCCTAGGGGATTAACGTCTTAGCATATTGCATTTTAGCACGCAGTACCGATGGCTCGCTCTGCTCTAGATGAGATGTCAGCAACTGGTGCTTTTCTCAGAACTCCTTCAACCTTCCGCAATTTGATATCACAAGATCCAAACTCCCCTTTCCCTGCAGAAGCTGGAAGGTATCACCTACATATATCATACGCTTGCCCCTGGGCGTCCAGATGCCTGGCATACTTGATGATCAAAGGGCTGGACAAATGCATCAGCTTTACAGTAAGTGTTGTTTAAACTCTTGTTTCAAAAAACTTTCAAGTTTTAACCGTAATTATATTTTTACTACTCCATTATCAGTCTGTCAAACCAAAATGGGAAAGGACTAAGGAGACTGATGAGCACATGGGATGGGTTTTTCCTGCTTCAAGTTCTGAGGAACCAGGTGCTGATCCCGATCCTTTCAACGGGGCTAAAAGTGTCAGAGAGCTGTATGAGATTGCAAGCACAAACTACTCAGGCAAATATACTGTTCCAGTAAGTATTATCTATAAAATGTGAAATTCTTTCTGGGTTTTTCTCTGCCTGAATATCTCAGCTCAGACTGCAGGTTTGTGTTTTCCATTAGGTTCTTTGGGATAAGAAACTGAACACGATTGTGAATAATGAGAGTTCGGAGATTATCCGAATGTTAAATACAGAGTTCAACCATCTGGCTGAGAATCCAGAACTGGACCTTTACCCTTCTCATTTGCAAGATCAAATCAATGAGATAAATGGGTGGATATATGATGATATAAATAATGGAGTATATAAGTGTGGGTTTGCAAAGAAGCAAGAGCCTTACAATGAGGTAAGTTGTTAAGTTGCCATTTTCTTGTAGGTCCCAATTAACTATTTTGTGTCAAACCTAGTAAAATCAAAATCTGCATGTGTTCTGTTGATAATTTTTTCATAGCGTACCATTATGACCTTTGCAGGCAGTGAAAAAGTTATATGAAGCCTTGGACAAAGCCGAGGAGATACTCAATAAGCAGAGATACCTGTGTGGTGGGACTGTGACTGAAGCAGATGTTCGCCTGTTTGTCACATTAATAAGGTTTGATGAGGTATGGATCTTTGTATGAAAGAAGATTATCCTACTAACTTCAAATGCTTGCAGTTCGAGATATTCATCTGTTTGTCACATTAATAATGGTTGATGAGGTATGGATCTTTGTATTCAAATGCTTGCAGTTTTGAAGCTTAGGAAAGAATAACATTACCTCAAATGTCAGAAAGCATTCCACAAAATTTACACTTCCAATCTGTGATTTATCTTGTATGGTTCAGTCTGTATACATGCTAAAGCTTATTTATTTAGACATTAATTCATGAATCCAATTTGTCAAGGGTACCGAGTTAAACACACTTCTATCTTTAGAAGACACAAATCTTTTGAGTTTTCTTCCTTGGAAATGATTGTCAAAGTCTGCTTGTGTGGTATTCTGTTATTGTTATTGTTATTATGATTGTTATTATTGTTGTCGTCATCGTCATCATTCGTTTGTTATTTGTTGTTTGTTTGGCAAAATGAAAAAGCTAATGGTAGCTATTTTGCATCGTACCTTTTCCGGTGTAAGACCTTTGGCACAGGAACTATTCTTTTTTTTTTTCCCTTTGGCACATGACATGATCAGAGGTTGTACACTACTAGAATTCACTGTGAATCTTAATATCTAAAACTACCATTTGACTAAATTTCCAGTTTCACACAGAAAAACACATCCCCAATTTACTTTAAACTTCTCTAATCCTTCTTGTTCAACAAAGCTCTGACAGAATGATTTAGTGCTGAGTTACAATTCTGAATGTAGTTTAGTTCAATGACCACTACATCCCACAGAACTCTATTCAGCTTACCTATGCCTGGAACAACATGAAATCAACCAGTAATGTTGTAAAATCATTGTATTTCCAAGGGAACTTAAACCATTCTATTGAATATCAATAGAAAGGATGAAATTGGTTTTGCAGGAATAAGCCAAATCGTTGCTGCGTTGTAGTTTGTTTAGGCTGAAGCAGGACTTGTTTACTTGTACTAGAGGCCATTGTACACTTGACCATTTTATTATTCCAGATTGAGACAATCAAGTGCCACAACCATGTAAC